TGGGAGGAGAATTACTCTCTCCTCCTCACACACTACACAAATTAATTATACCTCCCACATACAAAAAATGTAAGACAATTTTTATGAGATAAAATGTTCAAAAATATAAGAGATGTTGAGTTTTTCATGGTGGAATTAATAATTTTTTTTTCAAGTATATCTTAATTAGGGGGTACAATAAATTGTTTTAATTGAGACACCATATTAAATAATGGTAGAAATGAAAAAAGTGTATAATTTTAAAGACTATTAACTAATTCATTGGAGAATATAATTTAGTTAAAAATGCTTTATAATTTTAAAATACCCTACAAACATTTATATTCTATATGTTAGCTTTTTCCTAGTTGTTTGAAAAAATTCTCCTTGATATATTATTATTTTAAAAATTGAGTAATTACTTAAATATTTTTTATTATTTAACTTGCTTATAGCAGAGGTTAATATTAGTTTAAGTGCACCAAACATGTAAATTTTTTGGAGTCTCTATTATATGTATAAAAAATACTATGACTTAACTTTAACTTTAAAAAAAAATTTATAATCCTAAATGATTTTTAACTTATGATTTTTTAATTAAAAAAGTATTTTAATATAATTTTTATTCTAAATATTAATTTTTTAAAAAATATCAGCATATATGATAATTTTTATTGTAATTTTGGCCCCTAACCCTCTTATCTTGGTTCTGGCCGTGCTTGCACCCGCCATGCTGGGTGGCAGATACCTGTCAAGTAGTTAACGGGAGAAACAAACTAATTGCAGTATGCATATAAAAATTGAACAATAATGAACAAAAAGTTAGTATTATTTTTTTTTCCGAAAACTCCTGACTATTTGCCAAAACCAAATGTAGTTCATGAAATTACAAAGTAGGGTTACAGACTATGACAAAATGTCACATGTTCTATATATTTCAATATGTTTTTTTTTTTGGCGATTCTGTGCTTCAAAATTAAATTTGGAATTAGATTTGAGATAATTTATTTTATATATATATATATATATAAAACATTATTCAGGTTTAGAGTTAAGTGTGTAATGAATTTTTTTTAATTATTTATATTTAAATGTATATAAAAATTATTTTTTATCTATTTGAAATTCAAATTTGATCATATTTGAATTCAAATTAATATCTATCTATTTAAAGTTTCCATCCACATTAAAGATATGCTAAAAGTCTAGGCTCATTTGATCAAGTACACACACATTTGAATTCAAATTTAACTTAATATCCATCTATTTAAATATTTAAAAAGGGAATTTGTGTTTGAGTGTTTAGATTTATTCTCATGATTTTGGAGGATTATAAATATGATAAAGTATAAACATTAATCTATTTAATAATTTGGATCTCATGATGTTAAATTCATAATATAGATATTAATCTATTTAATAATAAAGTATGTAGAACTACCATTATTTATGGAGAATACTAAGATGTCAAATTTTTAAAAATATTAATATGCTGAAAAGGCCTTCCTAAATTTTGTTAAAATTCAAATACTTTAAATATCTATACTCACAAAAATAAATATTTAATATTTATCATTTTAATTTTTTTTAATAAAATAACCTTTTAATATTCTCTCCCAATTCATCCTTATTCAATTATATATTATTAGGGCAGGTTAATAGTATATTTTACACCTTCACATCTAACTCAATTCTCTAATTACATTATGTTTATTCTCCTCTTAATTATTATTCATATTATCCATGGCTTCTATATTTGTAATCCATGTAATTCGTACCATCAACACGACCAAAAAAGATTGGCTCACTATCATTTGGGTGATTCATGTTTGGACGTTGCCAAGTAAAAATACATTCAAAAAATCTAACAATGTTTAATTAGTCTTTGAGGATACTAGAGTAAGTGTTTATGTTTTTCATTTTTTTTTTCATAATCTGGATTCCATCAATTACGTCTAATAGATAATACTTATTCTATTTATAGAACAATATTATTATAGAGTGACCGGATCTCTATAGTCATCTAGAAGCCTTTTGTAAAATGTTTTGGAGATAGGGTGCATTCCTTTAAAATATATAAAATTTCAAAAGTTGAGGTCTTACAGTGCTCTAGATCATACAAGACAATAAATTATTCTTACAAGGTTAGTTTCATATTCTATGAAGTTGTATCCTGAGACAGGTTCGATTCATCATTTTGAGTTTAATTTTATTAATATTCTAAAACTTATAAATAGGGAGGCAACAAATGATAATTACTTAGTTAGTATGTATTTAAATTTTTTTAAATTTATTTTGTTTGAAAACTCTATTCAGCATGTTTAAAATAATACACTATCTTAGTTCTTTCTTATATATTCAAAAATTTTAATTATAGATCATCTAATATTATTTAATACTTAAAGATTGTGTATGTGTTAAATAATCTTATTTTATATAACAAGGTTTGGAATATTGTATTTAATATATAAAATTAGTTTGAGACAATTAGAAAGTAAAGTAATGACAATTTTATCTAATATGACAAGTTTCTTAAAAGAACAAAGTTTTTATTTAATATGCACCACTCGCCCATCAAATAAAGCAAATAGATCTAAAAGAATTATTTATTCTTTCAAATCTATTTATTTGATAAGTTTAAAGTGTAAAGTTAGATTTGAAATAATTTTTGATTTTTATATATTTTTATTTTATTTTAACTAGATTTATTTATTTGAAATTCAAATCAAACAATTTAAAATGGAGTAATCAAATTATTTTATATTTTCATACAATAATAAAATTAAATTTTAATTATATTTTGACTAGTCTAGCTTGAAAAATAAACTAGTAAAATGTAAAGATCTATCTATTTGAAATTAAAATTATTATTACTATATAATATCTTTAGATTTATAGCATTTTCTCTCATTTAGTTAGTTATTTACTAGTTACAATCTATAAATTAGGATTTTTAATAAAATACAGATAGATATTATATAATTCTAATAAATTTGAATATAACTATTAAAATTAGTATTTAAATCTAAATATTAATTCCATTCAATTAATATTTTTTAGCAACTTTAAATTTTTTATTTATATTATTTAATTATGTTCTTTTAGATATTATAATATAGTATTTTAAAATTTTATTTTTTATGATAAATTTTTTTAAAATAATTTAATATTTTTTATCACGCTTTTTGAATATATTTTCAATTTAATTTGTTTGTTTTATTTTTAAACATGATTTTTTATTTTAAAATTACATGTTTATTTTTTAAAAAATTGTTTTAGTACGATATATTTTTAATAATGAAATTTATTTATCTTAGCGTTTTTTATTTATATATTTTTATTTTAAAGATGCAATATTATATGATTTTGTTAAGATTAATGAGCAAATATGACCCTCAACTCTTGCTCAAAAATTACCTTGAACCCTAAACTCTTAAAATATATAAAATAAATTTTAAATTTTTAAATTTATAACAAAATAAACTCTAACCGTTAAACTTTTTAACATTATTACTATTCATGCTGATATTATAATAGCAAGGGTTAAATTCGTAGAAAAATAAATCCTAAATAGTACCTACATGGCTTGTAACAGTGTTAAAAAGTTAATGATGAGAGTTTATTTTGCTATAAATTTAAAATTTTAAGGTTTATTTTGTATGTTTTAAGAGTTTAAGATTTAGGGTGATTTTCTAACAATAATTCATGGTCTTATTTGCTTATTAACCCTTTTTTTTAACCAAGAGACCAAGAATAGTTTTTTTTATGCAATTTTATGGTCCATATCAAAATAAAAAATATTTTCAGTTAAATTTTGAATATATATTAAATTACAACTAATTAATTTTTAATCATATTAAAATTTTTAGTTCAAAATACATTTCTATCAAAATATTTTAATAATATATTTATATTTTGGATGATAAAAAATTAAGAATTGTATAGCTTATATTATATTATGGGGTTTGTATTATTTTAATTTACATCAAAGTTTATTATTGTCTTTTAGATATTTAATTAAGGTAGTTTATTTTTTCAAAAAAATTATATGTACTTTCAAGTTTAGCCCTGAATCCTATTTATAAAGGTTGAGCTTGAGAAAAATGCTCATTTCAAGAAAAGTGAGTTTATGGGTTTGAGCTCTTAAAGGTTGAGCTTATAAGAGTTAAACCAACTCCAATTAATAGCTTTATATGCATCTTATATGTGAGTTTGTATTTTTAAACATTTATAGATAAACTAAAAGAGTGGTTACATTATATATATATATATATATATATGGTAAATTTACTTTAAATTATGATTTTAAATATTTATATTGATGAACTAGCATTTTATTTTAAGTAATTAAAAATGTATTGGCTTGAATTTTAAATATGGATTCTATTTCAAATTTTAAAATTTAAAATTATTCATCATAATTATTTATACTAAATATAATTCAAATTTTTAAAGTTATCTCAATGATTTAAATTGACCTCATGTATAAAAAATTTTAAGAAAAAGTTGCAACAAAGTTATTAAATTAAATAAGCAACAATTATTTTAATAAATATCCTTTTGAATGTCGCATCTTGTTTGTGTATACTTTAAATTGTGACATGTGTCCTTTTTTTAGTATTCTAAATTATGCCACATTCCTTTTTCAAATCAAATAATAAATACTCTTTCAAAAAATTATAATTAATAATAAATCACAAATGATTTGGTTAGAAAAGAGATTGAGTTTAAAAGAAATATTCTTTTATATTTATTTGAGTTCAAAAATTATATGATTAACAATATTTAATATAATCATGTGGATCTCAAAAAAGTTTATTTGAATTTCAAAACTTTAAACAATATAGTTTTAAAAATTTATAATTTAGATAAGATTGTCAAATTCAAATTTAATTTTCCTCCCACTTACATATTATATCAATTATAAATAAGTGATATTGCTTGTTATTTGCTTTTCACACTAACAGATTTGAAAGTTTCAAATCGACATTTGACCACAACAGGACTAGAGTCACATCATGGGTCCAGTCCAAAAACATGAATTTATTATGCAGAATGAAATTATCAAAAACCAACATATTGCCACATCACAATAACCAGTAACACCCCATAATGCTTCCGCACATCTTTAAGCTACAACCAACACTTCACAGCAATATGTACAAATAACTAGTGCAATACTTTTCAATGCTTTTCCATTTTTAGAATAGCATGCAACATTACTATGTACATAATGGAAAGTTTCAGAGCAGAACCTTCGGCAGAAGAGAGAGTCAAAAACAACAGCTCCAATATATGGCACCGCCCGCCATTCTTGAAAGAGCAGCCTGGAAATCTTGGTCTTCAAGCATCAGTCACATTGATGCACATCTACGTTATTACAGACACAAATGATGATTTCTCACCAGAATCACTCAATAGAAAGACTAAAATAGAGAAACAGAGACCAATAAATGGCATTGGTTGCAATTCGTGAATGAATCTGGAATTATTGATGTCAAATAATCGGCGACAGTAGTAGACACAGCACATTATAATCCATGACATGCAACAAAGGAGGACTGAGGTTGCCAAAGTTGTCTGTGAACCCAAGTAACCGGTAGACAGGACAAGATTCAAGGGGTCTCGAAGCTCAAAGATCGCAAGCGATACCCTATTGAAAAGTACACACTAATTGTGATGTACTTTGATCCTTGAAGCTGAAACAACATTTCTCACTCCTAAATAATTCCATACAAAATAAAATATTTTATAGGCAGTGAAAAATGCTTTTTGTCACCACATCATTGTTTGCCAATATCAATTGACTGAACCAGCTTGGCTGCGATTAGTGTCCTTGTTGCGGTAATAAGAGATTCACACCCTTCCAGTTGTAGAGCAATAACATTTATCAAAGAATGGAAATCATCATTACACATCAACATATGGCCTCATCCATTTTCACAAATCAACACCAGGCACATATAAGGGGTTCTCACAACACTCCAATTTGTCAGAATGGCCTGGCAGAATCTGCAATATAGTGATCCAATGACGCCAGTAACGGGATGAGGGAGTGATCTGCTACTGAAGGAGGTATTTTCCATAAATCAACTGAACTCAAACAATTGAAGTAACTGTTGAATGTATGTGTCCTTCAGGTTTCACTAGCCAAAACCATCGCTATGTTGATCGCATATAAAAATAATCAATCAAGAGCACTGGCTTGAAAACGGACTACACATTTTCCTTTATGTTCTGTGAAGTGTATGTCAAACGTATACCAGCATATTCTTTATGAATCTCTGAAAATATAAACGATCTTCTGAAAAACAAATAGGAAAAGCACAAAGATAATGGATATCCAATTTACATGGAGGTTGCAGAACCCGTGATGATTCAGAGGCATTTCTAAGTGATGAAGCAGATAAAGCATTACTGTCAATATTTAAATGAATCCAAGAAGAGTCCCAATGTTAGGCCGGCCTTCCAATAATTAAACATAGAGATTAGGCTCCGACCCTTGCTAGCTAGAGGAAGAGAAGCCCTATACATGAGAGCCCCAATCCCTTCGACAACAACCACAGCCAAGGCAGCAGACAGAATATCCCAGTCACCTGTTTGTCCAATAACAGTGGCAAAAGCAGTTGCACAATAAAATCCAATCAAGAAGAAAAGAAGTTTCCTTGGAAGATTAGTCTGTACCATCTGAATTTTAGTACCTAACTTGGTTAAAAAATCTTGAATCACTCTAATTAGGCGTGTCCTTCCATTATTTGCATTTGAAGTCGATGGAGTGAAACTGCTGTCGTCTATGCTACTTCTAATAGACCATGCCATCCTCCTATAGAGAACCACACCATTAGTATCCCAAGAAAAGCTCACCCAATACTCCATAAATGGTTTTCTTCATATAATCAATACATAAATTTAATGTTTAAGGTATTTCAAATGTGCTAATCTGCCAACACAAGTGGTCATGTACATACTTGAATACCAGAACACCTAAAAAAGTGATCCATTTGTGAAAGTGAATGGTGAAGTTCTTCTAGACAACCTAATCTTTTGATAGATGGAAAAGACCTCCTTCTTCACTTGGGATAGTTTCATATTCATTGCAATCAAGTTCTCCGATAAAAGATTTGTGGGGGGAAAAAAATCTTTGAAGACCCTAAACTTGAGGTGCTGAAGAAACAACCTAAAACTCATACAACAACAACAACAACAACAACAAGAAGCCTCATCCCACTAGGTGGGGATAGTAGAGACTAATTACAAAATATATGAGAATTGCATAGTAAACCTTCAATGAATAATAGCTTTCCAAGTTAAACAACCTACTAAAATTTTAGAAACATAAAAACAATTCTTTGAAATCAATTATTTTGCAAACGATCATGCTAAAGTAATGTGCAGATGGATGGAAATTCCAACAACTTAGGGCAAGTACATAAAATTTTTGCCTTTTACCCAACCAAAATAACAGAAAATCTGCAGTACTGTAACACCTGAGAAAACTATTTATCAATTGAAAACCCTCCAACTCTCTGCACCTATGCATTAATTGATTATAGTGATCTCGTTAAACATGTCTCAGTTGCCCTGCAAGATAAAACTAACACAAGCATATATTGCTGCCTACTCACTTGGAATTGTTTGCTAAGCAAGGTTGGCCACAACTAAAGAAGAGGCATGGAGACCATTGCTTCTGGTCAAATGAGGTTTTGCAAAATGATCGAGCAAGACCAGCATCAGCAGCTCCACAACTGACATAATCAAGGGATAAAAATTTGATAGTTGCCAAATAGTTGGATAGAGTCATTCTGGTACCATGATGCAATATCCTAACACCTGGAGATAATACAAAAAAAGCAATAATCTAAGAACGATCAAGAATAAAAGACACAATGAAAAAGACACAGCACAAGATAGAAGATGAACGAAAACATAATAATCAAAAGCTACAACCCAACTGTTACTATATTGAATTATTGATTGAATGAACTACAGTTAAGGAACTGAGTATCACCTTCATTTTCTCAGCAAGTTAGACCCATGTTGATGAATATCTCCTTATATTGACCATATTCTATTGTTTTCCATGCTAGCCTCTATTTTAGTTACTTATTATTACCACTAATGACCAAAAGAATTGGTTGTTGAGAACAAGTAATGATGTAAAGTGATCAAAAGAAGGCCTCTTTTTGTTGTATGAATTATGTAGTAATGGACTCATCATACAACAAAGATACATACAAGAACAACCAAATAACAAAATAAAACAATGATGTCAAATGAAATCAAATAGTGAAACTTGTATTATTTGTCGCCACCATCTTTTTCATGTCCCTCCCTCATCTCAATGAATGTAATTATTGTTCTTGACTCAATCATAATCTAGGCAATTCTTTCTCTTGGGAATATCTCAATGTTTTCAAGACATTTCCTTAATCCATGATGCAAAATAAAAAAAATTCCCTCGGAGCAACGTTTTAAAAGCCGATCAAGAAAGACCAACGGTTCGCAATTCTCATGGTCTAACCGATTAGATTGACGGTTGAACCAATAACATAATAAATAAATTTTAAAAAAAATATCATATATAACAATAATATCAAATAAAAGATAACTAAGAAATTATATATAAAAAACTAATATTATCATCAGCAATCATGTTTGGCCATCAATAATTCAGAACCTTGCACCAATCTGCCATGGTGTAAACATAAAACCATTAAGGAAAAGCATCAACAATGCATTTTTGGCCAAACAAATTGAGAAGCCACTGTTTAGGTTTTAAATAAAAGCAAAAATTAGATGATATCGCTTTGCATCAGAAAGGAAACAACATAATCAAACCCATGTAGGAACAAATCAATATGGTGTAAGGGAGAATGAACCAAGAGAATTAACCTATCCTCACCTAAGCTTCAATCTCGGCCAATAAAGAGGCTGATGAAATCAATGAAAAAGGAGAAGGAGACAATCAAACGAGAGATGACAAGATGAGAAGAGTGAAGAAAAGTCTGAAAGAAGGTAGCTGCACCAAGACACAAACAGGAAGAGGAGATGCTAAGGCCGAGACTCAGAAGGAGGGAAAGCACTGAGGTAAAAGCCAACAGCTAAACACGAAGAGAGCTTGATTGTTGATTCTGGAATCATGAATGTGAACTCGTGAAGAGAGGAGCAGGAGCTGCAATCGTGTTCATGACTCCTGACTTGAGAGGGAATGCCTGACTCTGAATCTGAAATGAGGAAGGTTTTTATAGGGGCTAGAATTGGGAAAAAATTGGCCAAAATTTGACTTCCCCAGTCCTCAAAGAACCACCCCCGGTTCACGGTGCTACAACAATTCGTGGTCCAACCGCTGCTTCAGCTGCAATGTTATTGACTAGACAGTCCGATCTGGTCTAGTCCAGTTTTAAAATCATTGCCTTGGAGTGTAACAAGGAGGAAAATTTGGCACAGATGCACGGTGCTATCCACTTTCTTATGGAAGAAAATGCACCGTTCCTACTTAAGTATATTGCATGCAACAACATTGAATTGAAATTCAAAATCAAGAGTATATACAAGACTCCAAATCCAAAAACACAAATAAAAAAAGGACCCCTACCAGAGCAGCAAGAAGCAAAATCCAATTGCATAAAGTTTTTGACCCAAACAAGGTAATGGTGACAGAGATTTCTCTAATGGCATTGCAACAGTCTCTGGCACAGTTGCTGTGGGGCCTAGGAAGAAAACCATTAGCCTACCCTCCTTGCAATTCTCAAATCCATTACTATATTCTGAGCTCTGATTTTTTGAGGAACACCAATGCCAAGATCTCAATGAAATAGAATTGAAAGATCCGGGTTTTCGGGAATCAAATGCATCAGGGATAATCTGAGTACTTTTGGCTAAATTACAGGTTCTACTAACTAGTGCAATTGCTCAAAACTTTCCCGTGAGCAATGTCAATCCTCTAATTTTTGTGCGTCTACATTCTACAATGAGGGTTTGGTTATAACTAATTTGTGGATTGGGGAAAGTAATGGTTGGTGAATTGATTCTGCTACAGCCTATAGGGATTAACCTAACTCATAACCAAAGATGTGAACAAGAAAGTGAACAATGTGTTACAAAATAGAGCCCCACCTTCTATCAAAGAGAAGGGTGGTTAGGTGGTGGTGCAACACGGGGCTTCAAGAGGCTCAAGTATTCAGGGCCCTAAGTCTCTACATCTACATTGGTTGCGTCATCTTTAATGCATCATTGAACGGTGCCATTTGAAGTCATAAATGACGTCTTACTGTTGCCCCTCTCTTAACCTTAAAAATAAAAGCAATTACTGAAAGAAAAGTCACAAAATAAAGGTGAAAAGAAAAAATAAAAGAAAAAGAGCCTTATTTCTAAGAGGATAGGAAATTTCATAATTCATAGTAGTTAACAATTGAAGCCTTTAGAAACCAATACTCGACATTCTTTCCTTTCTCTAAAAAGGAAGCTGTATGCTTGGAAGCAAACAAAAAGATTTAAAGACAATGTAGACACTGAGATTTATATGTACTTCCATGACAAATTACTATCACCATGACGGTCATAATGTAAACCTCCACAAGGATTAAACAGTATATGAAGACAACCAACCACAAAAATAGCTGAAATGACACAATATTATTATATTTAGTGCCTCTTGATTCAAGTGAATCCCTGCCAATACATCAGTAACAAAAGGGAATGAGTTCCAGATACCACACTAAGCCTATGACTTCTTGTACAAAGAGAAACAAGTGTGCAACAGTTTTAATCATTGTACGCTCGATATACTATTTTAAGAGAAACCTTTAATTTCTAGCTTTTCTGAGCTCTAATCTAACCATATTATAATTTTTTTACCATTAAGCTCTAAAATTGTTAGTGTGGAAAAGAACATTCTTCCTAGCAAATAATCCTCACAAAATTTATATTTCCCAGCATGAATAACAATTGTTTAAATATGACTTTACAGAACATCCACAACCTACCAAGTATCTCATTTTCAATTGAACTTCTCCAAGAAAAGGTAAAAGCTTTACCCTAAAATACCCAAGAACAAGAATCCCAAGTTGTTGGGGGAAGGAGGAATGTGGCAAAAACCCTTAATTGGTGGAAAAAACCATATTATTGAGAAAGAGAGATTAACCTTAGGATTAGTAGAGTGGGAATTATAGCAGATCTTGGAGGCAATAGTGGAGCAGAGCTGAGATTGAGGGAGTAACAATTTCGCCGAGGTTGTAGACTTCCATGATGGTGGAGATTATATTGATCTGTAGGCAGTCCCGAAGAAATCAAAGACTCCGCCTTGCCTCCTCCAGATTCATCGAGTTCAGAGGAACCTTCGTGCTCTTCAGATCCCTTGGTTTTGTGGAGGTGTTTCTTTTTACTTTTTAATTATAAAGAGGTCTCACCACCTCATGCAGCCAGAGTCCTCCTGGTTCTCAGCCTAGGGGGAGCACTAATGCTGTTGGATTCCAAACTGATGGTTGGCAAAAAAGTTTATGGTATTTTCAGAGGGCTGGAATTATGTTGGCAAAAAATTTTAGGGCAACAGAAGCTTCATCCTCCATACTTTCTCTATGTTCTAAATGAATCAATTGGCATTTAAATGACCACACTGGCATAATAGAACCACATAATAGATAACAAAGCAATAATCCTCAGACAACAATTGGCAGCAACAATAATACGCTCGACTTTACAACAAGTTAAAATAACAAAACTTCTTGCATAAAAAGCATAAGAGAACTTTAACTACAGATAGGCAATAAGCAAGATTGAAATTGCAAATATTCAAGGCAGGGACAGAGACGCGAAACATAAAAAGATTCTGGAGACGCAAATTCGAACACTCAGTAAGTCAGTATGAATAATAAAATGCGAAAGAGAGAGATGGACTTACTGGTTAGTGGTTATCACGAACCGAGAGAGATTGAGAAGGAAAGACTAAGTTGAACACGGTCACAAACTGAGAAGGAGAGATGCATACACTCTGCTAGTCACACGCAGCACAGTCAAACAACGATCGTCAAGCTCGTCACACACAGTCGAGCGATTGTCAAGCACTCAAGCTCCGTCGCTCAGTCGAAGTACCTTCTTTTATTTTTATTTTTTTTTTCAAAATGCAAATTACAAAGAATATACTCCAGAATCAGATAAACGCAAAAATACTCCACAATCCATAGCAAATAACATCATCATTCACCCGGAGTACGGAATCCAAATTAACCAAAGAATTAGAAAGATTAGTGCTAATGTCAAGTTGTCAACAACACGCAAGCCAGATAAATTTTGGCATAACACACGAGCCAAATTTTAAGTCAACCATCACATTACCTATTCGAATGGTGATTTGGGACTGGGTTCAAAATTCGAACAGGAGACGAAAGACGATCAAGAGACGATCTGGACAGCAACTGGAGTCTGGAGTGTGGAGACCGGAGATCGAACAGATTTCAAGGTTCGAGCTCGCCCTCAGGCGCGAGGTGCTAGCTTCCACGATCTGCACTTCTGCATGACAGGAACGGCGCTGGCGACGATCTGAAGGAGAAGACGAAGGCGAGGGCTACAGAGCAGAGTTCTTCGACGTTTAGGATTTAGGAAACAGACAATGGAGACAAGGAGTGAATTGTTACTCTGCGAGTGTGATTTGTGAAGGAGAAGGACGCGTCAGCATTCAGCTTTGGAGTTGGATTTTTTTTTTTTTAAAGGACAACTGGAATTGTGAGGGACAGCCAAATAAGCAACAATTGAACTAAAAGAAAAGAAAACAAAACGAGCCAGCCAACGGGTTAAGCAAGTTAGCCCGTTTTACATTGCTTTTTTAACGATATAAGTTAGCCCAACTCAGTTTTGAAACGGGCTCATTTTCTCAATCTAATTTGTCAAAATTGGCAAGCTAACAAGCTAGTCCGTTGAATTGAGCTTATTTGCCTAACTCTAAGTCAAATACAACACAGTACAAAGCACATGCTCTACTTGTCAAGCTCAGTCGCACTCGCACAAGAGAGAAGGAGAAGATTAAACATCAATTCGGGGATGGGAGGGAAGGGGGTGATCGGAGTCGCCCGCCAATGATGAGAGAGGGTCAGACTTTAGACTACAAACGGAAGACCAGAGAGAAAAGGAGAGTGACAGCTAGGGTGAATGAAACGGGAATTAAAAAAATCTAACCCTAATCCTTTCCCGCCCTTTTTTTTTTTTATTCGACTGAAACCTTTTCCATTGCAAGTTTGGCTTAAAAAAATAAATAATTAAATAAATAAAAATTAATACTCAGGCTGGGTCTAAACAAGTAGGGCTACATACCTTATTTGTTGCCCAGCTTGGCCCACATATTAACCCAACCCTGCTCATGCTCATAACATTTTAGATAGTTTTTTTCCTAGGCTGGGCAAAATTTAATCAAGTTTGGGCTGTCGGTCACCTGACACCAAGAACACTTGTCACATCAAGGCTGAACCTCCAAATGCAATGCGTTACTGGGAGTAGGGCTGCACAAAAGACTGGACAGCACTGGACTTCACCCTAACCCGAAGTCCGGTCTCTTTCATGAAAAAGACTGGGTTAAGCAACCCGTAGTCCAGTCTTGTCCAGTGATAACCCGAAGATTAACAGGACCGGACTTGGTCCATAGGACTGGGAGACTGGTCCTGTCAGTCCAGTACTCACTTAGCTTTTTTTCCCTCTTTTTATTCTATGAGAGGCAATAATCCATTCCAACATAATAAACTCAATTAAGATAGTAAAAATACTTATAATAATAATAAATCCATAATAATTTCTAACAATAAGAAAAAAAATATTTTTGTTATAGTCTAAATTATTTAAATTTATAAACTTTAATAAAAACAGTACTCAAAAAATTCAACAACACTATATTACAATAACAATTTAGAAACAAACTTAATAAATCTTTATGCAATCATCTCCTTAGCATCAATTACACTTTAAACATTTGTCAAAAATAAATTAATTATAATTATAATAAAAAAAATTAATAGGACTGGACTGGACCAAGTGGTCCGGATGCCTGGTCTCTTGTCCAGTCCAACCCGAAAAAATAGTCTGGTCTTTTTAGTCCTTTTGGTCCTGAAGGACCAGTGACTATACAGACCGAACAAGACTGAGACCATCTCGAGTTGGACTGGACCAAACAGGACTGAGAGACTTTTGCACAGCCCTAACTGGGAGTTCCAAAAATTCAAAGCTATTACCAGTTGTGTTTTTCGATAACAAGAGAAAAGTTGAACTTTTTGACCTGTCTTCCTTCATGGGATTGAAAACGCAGCTCACATATGGTGGGGATGTACGAAGATACAATGAGTAGTACTTGTTATTAACTAGACTAATGTGCCTAGACGTTACAATTACTTTTCTTTTAGGACGAAGAAACGGACATGATATGCATGTGTATACAACATCAAAAGGGAAGGTTGAAGATCGAGAGAGACATGACATCCATAGTTTCAAGCTTGGGCGTGGAAGCTCATATTTTTTATTTCTTTTAAATTTAAATTTCTCAACATGCTATTTTGCAATATCAATAATTTCAATAACGCTTTCCAACAACTTCAACCAAACAAAGCTAAAGGAATAAACGAACAAAGGCAACTAACAAATTTACAAACAAGTGCTGATATCCACATGCCAACTAAAAAAAATGTTGTATGAACTTAAGGGTTATTTTCTTTTGTATTTTATTTTTTCTAAAGCAGCTTGCTTGTCTGCAATCTGTCACTGTTAGCGCTACAGAATAGTACAATGAACAATTAAGGATTTTACTCTCAAAAGTGATGGACTTCTTGTTCCTCAGTATTCCGGATACAGGAACAGGACAACAGATTTGAACATGATATATGTTTTGAATCTCAGACTTCAATTGCCATTCTCCCAATTTAAAGCCAAATTCATTCATGAAATTAAAGCATTTGTTAAGAGGGGAAAAAAAATCAACAACGAATCTCATGGGGGACAAATTTGGTGGTCAGAAGCCAGACGCCATGAATGCGATCTTGAATTTCGGCTTCACTTCTCCACCAAATTCCTGGTCGGAAAAGGAAGCAGTATCTCTATAGAATTATTCACCAATATATATATATATATATATATCTATAGAATTTAATGCCACAAAGGCAATACATGTGCAAAAACGTTTCCACCTTAATTCCTAGTTCCTGCAGACCAGAATTTTTTTTTTTTTTCGTTTTTACCAAACTGAATCAATAAACTAATCGAACAGAAATTAAAGAATTATAATATGCAAGGAATTATTCCCCTATTTTTTGTATTTCAATGTGATGGATGTATTAAATATGGTCTTTGTTTTTTTCTCTGTTTAAAATATTTGTTACTTTAAAAAATTAATTTATCTTAGATATTAAAATCATATTGTAAATATATTTATTGTCTCACAAATTCAACACTTAATAATAACTAATTTTGCGGAGAAAGAAAGCATGACTCATCTGGTTGAAGAATTAATATACAAGATATTTTCTTAAACATTATAAAAAATTGTTACAGTTTAAATTTTTAAAAAGATTTCATACTTTTTATAAGAAGTAAAATGCAAATTTGCCTTTAAATTATAGGTATAGTAGCAAAATTGAGAAATCTAAAATTTTTTTTAGATAATGCTTCCTTTTAACGTTTCAAAGTAATGCAATATTACTCATATCATCAACAAATTTTAATTTTAATTTTCAATTGATCAAAAAATTATAAAAAATAATCTAAAAATATTGAAAATGACTAAAAATTTATAGAAAATGATCGTAATAAGAAAACTAGTAACTTTTTTTGTTAAGTGATAATAACTATTGCCAACCTAACCATTTAGAGGGAGGGAGGAATGGTTGATAGTAAGTAACTATCATTAATTAGGGGTGTTCATGCTCGTCCCATCCTAATCAATTCAGCTTTTTCTCAATCATGTCAAGACGGATCTATCCCAACTTAAAAGAAAAAAAGTATGTGACTTTGTTGGATTAGATAAAAAATAATTTAGAATGAGACAAGACGAGACAAGACATGAAACTATTTTCAAGACATCTCGTCCCATCCCATCCCAAATATAATACACATATAATTTTTTTTATTAATATGTAATAGTGTATATACTATGTATATATTTTTGTTTATTATATACATAATGTTCATATGTAATATTTAAGAGAAAAAATTAATGACTTGATATTGTGCTTGGCAAGTTTATTTAAATTGTGCAACTCAATGATTCTGTGATTGTTGTACTTGCAACCTAAGTATTATTTGTGATTGTTTGTGTGATTGACTTTAAGATATGATTGTATTTTTTTTATTTTAAATTGTAACTCAATGATTGAATTTTATACTCATGTTTTGATTTTGGACTTAATAAGTTATATAATTTAATAAATATTGTTATTCAAATTTCTCTTTCATATTTTGTTTGTTTCACCGAGACGTTTTGATCCTGTTTAAATGCCAAATAAGACAAAATGAGACACTGAACAAAAATTTAATCTTATTTATTTTTTGAGATAAGACAGGAGATAGAATTGTCTTGATTCTACCCCGTATTGTAAAGACCCATATTGATAACTAGATCTGTCAATTAGGGTTAGAGTCTAAACAAGCTGACTCTAATAAGTTCAATTATATTTCAGGGTTCCCTTTTATAAGGCCCAACCCTAGCTCTCAAGAGGGCTGACCCCTTTTTTTGTTACTTTTTTAAATTTAAAATTCTAAAAAATATATTTATAATCTTAAAAAAAGTTATTATACATAAAATTAAGTTTAAAAAAATAAATTTAAATCAATTTATACCACAATAAATAAAAAAACTTAAACATTCAGGTCTAATATCAAATAACAACATCAAAATTAATGCCAATAAAAATTAAACTCAACTAATATTATTAGTTAAATCTTAATAAATGAATGAAGGAGGGACAAATGAGTCTAATATGTTCATTTCTTTTGATCATATATTTAATCTTCCATTTTTTTATATTATAATTTTTTTAAAAAGATAAAAGGGTTTAAAAGGGCCGACTCTTTTATTTTCGAGCTTAAAAGGTGGCCCTTTTAAGTTTGAATTATTATTTTTTATTCTAAAATTGAGACTCGATTTTAATTATTTTTAAATTTAAAAGGATCAGTCCAACAAATTCAGTCCTAATTAATAGCTCTATTGATAACCTTGCAACCGCAGCGTTGGGTGGCAACCGTCTCTCAAGTAGTTAATGAGAGAAACAAACTAATTGCAATATGCATATAAAAATTGAATGATAATGAACAGAAAATTACTTTTTTTTTTCCCTAAAACTCCAGACTATTTGCTGAAATCAAATATAATTCATGAAATTGCGAAGTTTAAAATACTTACTCCAACAATTTTTTTTAATAAAAAACAGAAATCAAATGTGCTCTTATTCTCCAAATATATTTAATTATAAATTGAAAAGTTCATTGATCGTAAAATATTCCATGTCCATGTAAATAAAGTGTAACATATAATAAAGTACTCTTGTAAACTTCTAACAATAATAATAAAAGGACTACTGCCGAGAACATCAAACATCAAACATTATTTATTGATAAGGAATGGTTTTTGATAATTTTAAAGTAAAACGAATATAGTGAGAACTGAGAATTTGAATGCACATGTGCGCGCAAAGAATATACTGAGA